TAAAAAAAGACTTAAATAAATATTAAACAACTTTTAATTTTTCATTCTGTATCAAGAAGGGATTTATCCTAATTGTCTTATTTTTTTACCTAAATTCTCATCTATTTTGAATTTTCTCTGTTGGCTTTGGGCCTAGGGACAGGTAGTTATAGTTTGTAAAGTTTAAAATAAATAGTCTATTTTAGTTAATTTTGTTCAAGTTCTTCAGATTATGACCAAAAAAGGCTAGAGGGCTGATTTTGAAACTGTTATGGTGAAAGATGGTATTTGAAAACTTTTGATGAGGGAAATTGCTGCTGTATTTACATTTTGAAAAGTGTTTCCTTATTTATGCACTATTGACTTCCTATTGAGACTCAAAATTTTAAGTACAACTGGTAAAAATTCAATGGATCAAACTCAGTAAATCTGAAGTCACTGGAATAAAGCCCCCTAAGAAAAAAATGTGTCAATTTTAAAGGTCTTTCCTAACTGAAGACCATTTTGTGATAGAGCCAAAGGTTAATAAAATCAGTAGTGAATGTAGCAATTTTACAGATAAGCTATTCACAACAAGTGTAGTTACTTGAATAAAAAGCTAATTCAGTTCTAAAATGCCACATGCAGTAGCAGTGAATAGCTGCTTTTAGGTGCTTTCTGGAGGAGGATAAAATACAGAATCACGGCACTCTTCTCTTCCAGCGTCCCTGGCTGCCTGTAAATTGCTGTGAATGGGGCTGTGGGCTGACAGGCTCTATTAAGACAAACTGCCTTTCTCATCGGAGAGATAAAATAAATCAGGTGTTTAGTCAAATTAAAATACTTCAGCTGGAGCAGGCCCTGGGGAGCACTGATCCACCTGACTAATCTAAGAGAAACTCAAGACAGATGTGGTTTGGGGATAAAGACGACCCCATGGAAAAAAAAACAAAACACCAAAAAACCCCCCTACTGCACTGTCTTTGTAGTTGGAGAATAGATACAATTTACAGCGGAGAGTGTCAGGCGCACACTGTGTGTGATATTGGATAAAAGCAGGCGCCCTAACCTGTAGAGAAGCTGTGTATGGAAGCTCTTTTTTCTGGTTCCCTTTTTTTGGTTTATGAAACTACTTATGTTTTTGTGGAGAGACTATTTTCTGGCAATGCTTTTTAGAGAATCATTTTAAGATAGCCTGAAGGATGTGAAACGGATGATGTAGGCAGCTACTGATGACCTCTGCTGGCCTGGGCAGATCCTCAGGATCTCATCTGCTGTTTTTCTAAGTGGATTTTATCAAACCTCAAAGCGTTATTTAACACAAGATTTTCTACATAGAGTTAGCCTACCTCATAAGAGCATTCTATTGGGTTGCCCAAAAAGTTCATTCGGTTTTAAGTAAAAATAAAAGACACATTTTTCATTTTCACAAAGAACTTTACTGAACAATGTATTCATTAACCAAACGAACTTTTTGGCCAACCCAATGTATGGTCGTTTGCCTTCCTTAATATGTATTTAGGCTGCCCCACTATGTCCCATAAATTGTCTGCTTTTTCAGCAACTCTCGCAGTTGTAGTTCCTTTGCTATGGCAAAGTTTCATGTTCAGTTAAACTAGTATTTTTGAGATGAGATAACTTGTGTTCGCAGGTTGGTTGGTCAGCGTGATTTAGACTTGATGTTGCTTTTATTATAGCTGCATACATATTTGCTGTTAATTAAAACAAAAATCCAGCACCATGGATTTTAAATACCTGGGTTTAAACCACTATATGTGAACAAATACAATGGGTATAGAACAGAAAAATGACTACACACACACACACACACACACACACACACACACACACACACACACACACATATATATATATATATATATATATATATATAGTCCCTTGGGGATCAAATTAACTAGAAATCAATTTAAACCATACAACAGCTTACATTCTCTAAATGTGTAGGCTAATGTGTTGTGTGTGTATATACATATATATCCATATGTGTATTTCCCATTTCAAGGGCAACTTTAGATTTGTTTTACTACTACATTTCATTCCAACTGCATTTGTCATGCCACTCACATCTATTCAAAATATATATGTGCTTCTCAAATTTAAGGAAAAGATAATGACAGCCTTATATGAGTACCCAACTCTTCAATTCAAACATACTGATCTCTGGCTTGTTTTCTTCTTAAACATGTATCTTTTAAGTTCAATGAAAGACTTACTTAGGTGTTATTGAATTTTTATAATTAAACAACTTGAGTGTCATGCTGGTTTGTAAAAAGATTCAGTTAAATGGTGTTATTCTGTAAATTCAGAAATACATGTCTATTAGTATTGGAAGCACCAATGCATTTATAGACCTGTTGGCTTCACCTTGAACAGAAGAGGCTAAGAAGCCATTTGTGTGTTATCTTCAGCTTCTCTGTTTCCTATGCAGAGGAGAAAGGGAAATATATTGAAGATTTTTGAAAAGACAAAGTTTAACCTGGGAGAGAAGAGAAAATTTTTCAGTCTTTACTGGAGAATCTAATACCAAATTTGACTCTTGTATTGGTCCTTGCCCAAAATTTCCAACGAATGCTCTTCTTTATTAACAAAGAATTATGGTACAGTAACTTTCTCAGTATCCAGTAAGTCTTCTCTTAACTCACCTCATATACATAGGTATAACAAGATAATTACATGTAGATCAGAATGTTGCCAAAAAGTATATGCAATAAACCCCATTTATCTATTCTCATAACTTTCCAAACTATTCTCCACACTGTAGCCAGAACACCCACATCATCTCTTGTTTAAAGTACTTTAGTGATTTTGAAATTTTCTTAGAATAAACATGAAGTTCATCCAGTGGTCTATAAGGAGCTGAATGGTGTGACCTTTTCCTACCTTTCTAGCCTCATTTGGTCCTCTACTTTCCTTTGTTTTTCTTATTTACGTTTTACTACCTTCTTTCAATTTCTGGAACACACTGACACTCTCCACCACCACCTGCCCCCTCACAGGGCCTTTGCCTATATTGTTTTCTCCTACTGAAAAGCTCCTTGACCACCCTCCAACTCTTTGCCTAATTAACTCTGTTAACTTGTTACTTTGTCAGGCATAACTTCCCTACACTTGAGCCTCCCAAACTTGGTTAAATCTCCCCCCAAATGTCTGTCCTGTTTATAATTCTTATTTAGTTATTGTTTACATTTATATGTGTGATTATTTGATTAAGGTGAAAGGGAACTTTGCTTTTTCTTGGTATGGTATTGGTATCCTTAGTTCTTGATATAGTACCTGAGATTCAAGAAATATTTTTTTAATTAAAATTTAATGAAATGAGTAAGTAAATTCCATACTTGTTTTATGTCTTCTCATTCCTATATATCATTAACATTTATATTAGTTGAGCATGTTGTGATTTGGAGGAGATTTTTATGATCCCCTCCAAGAACCTGATTTTGTATTTTAACATTTCTGGATCAAGAAGTTCTTTCTTTCACCAAGCTGAAATTCCTATTGCTGAAATAAAAACTCATTAAAAAAAAAATCACTTTCAGTAGCTAGAAAGAACAGCTGGTCACTATCCTTGATGCAGTATTTGTTTCCTTATCAGTGGAGTACATTTTCTAACATCATTTCACTATCTTATTTTTCTTTTAATTTTTAGTTTAGGCCACCTTTCAGCTCAGTAAATCTTTAAGGGATATGGGATATTGACAGTTTATTTATGTATTTACTTATTTATTTTTAAGGACTTGAATTGGCATTAAGAATACCAAGGTAATTCTAAATATTGTAACTTATCAGCCTTACCTTGTGGGAATCATATACTAGTAAGTGCTAGCCAGCATCACCTGAAGGCTTGCTTTTCCCATGGACCCACTCAAAAAATAGGCCCATTCCTAATTAAAATATGTTCAGTTTCTCAAATTGTCCTGGTGCTTTCCTAGCAGGAGTGAGGGGGGTTTCATAAGGAGATTGGAAGTCTCCTCTTCCACACACACAAAAACTGGCAATCTTTATCTCTTTTGACAGCTGGTGGCATCTTTCTGAAAAGCTTTCAAAGCATAGATCATTTCTTCATAATGAAACCTGTGTGCTCAAATACAGTGGGTTGTGTGTTGAAATTCTTATCTTATGCTATGGCGAAATGCTCTAATTTAGATTCACAAAAGGATCCTGTACCCTTTACTTAGGAGAGCTGTGCAATTTGCCCATAGATAGACTGTTCAGCACCATTAGTGCATATCGTAGGTGTGCAGCGACATCATAACCTTTTCAACCTCGAATGTGTTTTTTCCTTTTGAAGAGTGACAAAGGGGTGAGGGAGCCCCCCAAGCAACATTATTGCCTTTAAGGATGAACTTGGGAACTTTAGCTTGATCCCCTCACCAGAAAAAAAGAATCAGTTTCAATTCTTTCTTACCTGAGGCAAGACAGATTTTTTTTTCTTTCTGTAGCACTCATCCCATGGCCAAGAGTGACCCCTGACTTCTGAGATTCAGAGACAGATCTTTGCACAATAGAAAAATTTTATGAGGGCAGTGATCAGAAAATTCCTAAGTAACATTATTTAAGCACCTATTATGTCTTAGGTCCTCTGTCAGTCATTGAGGGTAGAGGTTGATTATAGAATATTAATACAACCCATAGTTTCTAATCTTTGGTACTAAATAGCATAAGATTACTAGCTTGAGCAGATAGATTTGGGTGGGGAGGGAAGGGGAATGTGGTGAAAGGGAGAGAATGGAGTAGGTTGTTCTGTTTTGTTTTCTTTTGTTTTGTTTTAAAGAGCAAGAGGGAAGAGTGAGTGAGAATTTTATTGGCAATAGTCCTTTCTCTTAGCAGGGGTGATGACTAACCCTAGCGTTCATTCCATTGCTACTCCATAGAGTTCCTGCACTTACAGTGACCTCCAGTTATTGTCCCAGATATTTAAGTGTCTTAGGGTAGTCCCTTTCTAAATCTGCCCACCCACTCGCTTCCCTAATTCATTCAGAATTGTCTCAAACTTGTGAGATATCTTTTCGCTTCCATTTTAGGTACACCTGAGAGCCTGGCAGAAAAAGAACGGCAGCTCTCTACCATGATTACCCAGCTGATCAGTTTACGGGAGCAGCTCCTGGCAGCGCATGATGAACAGAAAAAACTGGCAGCCTCACAAATTGAGAAACAACGGCAGCAAATGGACCTTGCTCGCCAACAGCAAGAACAGGTGAGCCCTGCAAAAGGAGCTGATGAACTGGAGGTGTGGAATGTGCCAAGCTCAGCGAGTAATCACATTGATTGGTTTATTTGTCATAAGCCTTCCTAAAAAAAAGAATGAAAGAAAGAAGCCTTCTGGAAATCCAGGGTTACCGAGAATACTGAGGGGATATGTGGAGGACAAAGAAAGGCGTCATAGCAACTGGGCATAACTGAAATGATAACATTGTTCCAGAACATTTGGATTTGATTAATTACTTGGGGAGACTTGTTCATGTAGGCATCACGTATATTCCCAATGTAGCTTAACCATGAGTAAATCGCTTCTCTCTGGGCCTTACTCTTCTCTCATCCAGAAAAGGAGGATCCTGGTCTAGAAAAACTTTGAGAATCTTTCAGTTCACTGGTTCAAGCTAGGGTGACCATATGTCTCAGTTTTTCCAGAATAGCTCTGGTTAATGTCTGTTTTCCAAAGCAATTATTAATACTCCCCTCTTCCACTTGCAAAAGTTGTCCTGGTTTGGATGATAAATTATATGGTCACTTTATTTACAGCATAGGTAAATCATTAAAAACAAATTAACACATGGCTCATGGAAGAATTTGACTTCATTGATTTAGAAGTGAGAAAAATAGCAAAGTTTGCGTGTATCTTTTAAAAAATAAATCACTTTCCCAAATGTTTTTCCTGTCTCATAAGAGTGCATTAATCTAATAACAATGATCCTATAGAGTAGTCCCTGATGCTTTAGATCAGATAGACCCAAATTAATGTGCAGTTTTTAGGAATCTGACATTATTACTGGAATTATCTTTTCAGTTAAATGTATTTTATAGGGGTATATAGAGCAATATATGCTCTGTTGATTTTAATGAGTTGTGACGTCTGGTATTTTATATGCTTGAATATTTGCCCACATGTAGGAATATGGACTCAGCCCCTAATGGAAAATAACATAAAGGAACACTGTAAAAAATCAGAAGTTAGAATGTCATTTAGCTATCCAGAGATGACACAGTAATTAACTATTGACACTTGTGAATAAGCTAGCACAAATTAATCTTGACACATTTGCAGACGAGTGATATCTTACAGTGAACACTTTGTAATTATATATCAAAATGAAAATTAAATGACACTTAAAACTAGGTTGTCATGCTCAATGAAGCGAGCATGTAGCTCAACCGATTGGCAAATAAAATTCAGAATTTGAGCCACATGGTGCTTATGTACCATACTTCACTGTGTCAAACCCATACATCTAGAGTGGATGATAGTAATTGCACTGTGGTGTTTTGGATGCATTTCTATGCAGCACTTTATCATTTAGGAGGGACCATCAATATTAGATGTCTAGTGGTGTTTCACTGGATGGCTAAGAGGAAATAAATATTCAGAGATCCAGCATGTATACCTAGAATTGCAGAGTGAGTTGTCCATTTCTGATTTGAATGGTGATAAGCAGAGTGGGCCTTTCCAAACTGATTACATACTGTTTCCATTTTGCTTATAAAAAGCTTTGGGGAGGAGTGATCCCATTTCTCAACCTGTACCCTTCGTTAGGGGTAGCTTTATCATGACTTCTAGAATGAACCAGTCATCACCAGAAACCATTGAGCCACATTTGGGGGCAGATTGCTATTTGTCATCTTCTGCTGAAAGGAATGTGATTTGGGTGTGTCCCTCTACTCTATGCTAAAATATTAAAAGGACTCAGGAAGTATACAGCTGAGGGCTGGTTCACATCCATTTCTACTTCCAACATTGTCCATTCTAGAATATTTTGGAAATAGAAGAAATAGGAAGAACATAACTCTTGCCTATAGGGCACCACTAAACCAAGTCCTTCTAAGTGCTTTCTGGCCATTTTTTTCTCTGGCTTCCTAGGTTGGCAGTGAGTGTGTTCTCACTAAGGGGCATTCCAATGGGCTTCAAACTCCAGCAGCTCAGATTTTGAGGTAATAAGTAGCCTGACACCTAACTCCTGTTTTATAGTAAACACCATTATCCTACAGAAGTTCCCTGCTCTCCTGAGGGGCAGATTCAGTCTTCAGTAGGGCTTGCATTAAGTAGTTAATGTTTCTTTTTACAGATGAGATGATGTGCTAAGATGTTGAATTTGATTGTTGGGTGAAGCAGAGAATACAAAACTTGTATGTGGATCCTGTACTGTAAACCTAACACATTACCCTCAAAAGGATGTGAATAAATATTAAATTGTGTTTGTTTTTAAAAATGCTTTGTACATTCCACATTATATCAACAAAAAAAGATAAAGGTTTTTGCCTTTTGCTGTATTTTTTTGGCACTCCCTTGACAATATTTGTGTTATCAGTTCTGAAAGTCTTTACAGTAGAAAAGGTTTCACCAAAGTAGGCCATATTATAAGTAATAGAAAGTTCTTTCCTATCTTTGCTTACAGATTTTACTTTTTAAATACAAATTAAGCTCCTTAGAAAAATGTAGGCAGAGTTTTCCTGTTTTTATTCTTCAAGGATGAGATTTTGAAATTCCCATTCTTTCCAGATGACCAGTGCAGATATAGATGAACTGCTCACAAATGTAATACAAGGGGGTAGTTTTCATGTACAGGTAAAGATTTAGGGGCAAGCAGAGAGATGGTACCTGTTTGAAGTATTTCCTTTTCTCAAACTTTCTGATTCTGCCTCTCTCATTTTATAGGAACTCTTTCATGTAGAAGTACAGTAAAGCATCCTTGTAATACCAGGAGAGGTACCTGAGGTAATGGCAAAGGTGTAAGCATTTCATTTTAACTTAATGAAACTTTATTTCTGATAGATTGCAAGACAACAGCAGCAACTTCTGCAACAGCAGCACAAAATTAATCTCCTGCAGCAACAGATCCAGGTCAGTGTATTTTATTACTCTCGTCTGATTATACTTAGATACTTTTCTCGTTGAAAATGGAATTTAAAATGCTGCAAATGCACCCTTCTCTTATAAACAGCACCAATAGAGCTGTTTGTTATTCAGGGATGTTGTATACAATTGTATAAGTGGATGTAGAAAATATCGACTTGGTGGTAGTCTAAGCATTCTTTTCTGATGTGATGCGTAAGCAGAATAAACCTTATCTTTTTTTCCTTCTGCCATTTGCCTAACACAACCTGGTGGAAACCTAATGGTTTCCAAGGTAGCATACACATGCTAGTTTATTGTCACAAACTACCTGCTGCTTTATATTTTACCATCTAATAGTATCATGGGTAGAAGCTTATGTTTATTTGCTTGTTAGGACTGTCTGGGCCAATTATGAGAAGAATCTTATGACCTAGGAAAAGGTTGGTAATAATTAATTTGTTCTTTAACAGATATTAACTGCATTTCTGCTAGGTGCTGAAGAGAACATAAAGATTAATAAGTAATTGTCTGTCTTCAAGAAGTTTATAGTCTAGAAAGGAAGAAAAACTTGTTCTTGAATAATTGTAACACACTTTAGAAATTTCTTTTCTTTCTTTTCTTTTTCTTCATTTCTTTTCTTTTCTCTTTTTTTTTTTTGTGGCAGGTTAACACAATATATAGGTCATAATTGCATGGGCCTGGGAAAGAATTCTGATTTCTGTCATTCCTTTAGAGATTTGATGGTTAATTCAGCTAACAGCTTTTTGACATAGGTAAGGGAAGTGGTCTCCATTTTTGAATAGGAACATAGGTGTGTGACTTCTAGAAAGCCTTAGAATAAGCAACTGGTTGTCTGGTGATTAATCCTCAGGAATATTGATCCCAGAGTTATATGTATCCACCACAGTCTCTGGGTCTCTCTTGGTTGCTGTAGATATTTTCTAACCACTGGGATCTATGATTCAGCCTAGTTGGGGCAGTATATTCTGAATTATATTAGTCCTTTCCTTGAGATTAGTATCACACCTTCCTATATTTAAAAAAAATCATTTACATAAAGTCATACCTTATTTCACCTCACTGATGAACGCCAGTGATTTTAACTTAGATTTTTGCTTCATTTTGTAATCACACTTAGTGTTCCAGGTAGTAGTCACTGCATTTAAAATACCAATTTGGTGCCTGAAGAAGTACCTGTACCTAATTTGGCATTTCTTCTAGCTGTCTTTACTAGGAGGTCTTAACCAGTGTTTGTTGTTATTGTTGCTGCTTTAGTTAGTTCTGATTCTATATTCCATACTCAAGTCTGTATGTTTCAAAATAAAGAATCCAAACATAGAGGAGACGGTATATCTCTGGCATTTGGGACAGTCAGCCTTTATAATTAAATCTTGAAATAATTTCTCATCCTGGTATCTCATGACTCATGCTGAGATCCTTAATTAAATAACTGTCCAGGTGTTCCCTTGTTCTGCCCTTATTAGAATTTTCAGTGTGTCTCCCACTGCTAAGGTCAAGATTTTTAGCCTGTGGCTTCCTACATTTTTCTCTAGATCCCTTTCTAAGAACTCAGTAGGTGTTAAATAACCTAACCCGATCATTTGGTTCTCTCTGTTTCTCCTATTTGTAAAGCAGAAATGGAAGAAATTCCCTGAGATGTTCTCATATCAGTTACTTACTATTAATGTTTTTACTACCTCTTTATTACTTACTTCTTTGTTTATTTTGAATATATTTCACTTCTTAGTCCAAAGTTGTTTGCAGGAACTGGCTGTCTTAATTGACATTTGCCTGTTGTACTGAGGACCTCAGATGAATAGCAACAAAATCAAAGTATTTTAATGAAATATTATAGGCATTTATTGATTACATATGATTTTATAGTTATAACTTGACTATATAAAGTTGATATCTTTTTCAGGAAACTATAGGTCATGATCTTAAAATATTATTCATCAGAATGTTCAATCTGAGAAAACAAGAAAGTTGGTTTTTCAAGTGTTTTAATAGAAGTTTAATTGCTTTTAAATTTGTAGATATTTCTCATTGTTTAAATTTTTAAAAATTGAAGCTAATCAGACCTTGATCTCAGCAGTATAAATTATAAAATCATAGAGAGATTCAAAATAGTTACATTAATTTTAGAAATATGGGATTCTTTGTAACAGGAATTCATATTTTAAAAAATAAGAGGAGGCAATAACTATATTTATAGTTTATTCTGTCCTGAGCTACAGCTTCACTGCATATCTTGTCAGTATTTATTTTATCGAGCATGAGACCATTCAAAGAATTTTTCAAATACTGAAAAACACTTCTCCTTGCACAAAACATATTAATCTCTGACACTTACAAAGCATGTATTTGATATTCAGACTTTTAGTTGTTTTTTTGGAAGGGGAATGGGTTAACTGTATTTTCAAATAAGTTTTTTGACCAACCATAGGCGTGATCAAATTTAGGAGAGAGACTGTTGTTAGACTAATTTTAATTTGAGCAAAATACGAGATTTAAGAAATGCTTCAAACATTTTGCTATCATGAAACATTCTCCCTTTTGAAAACAAAACAGAGTAAGATAGTAAATACAAAACCTTTCTCTTCTGAAAACAAATGAATACAGCGACAATTTGAGATCCCAAGTTTGAACTTTTTCCTTCTTTTAAAATCTTGTATCCTAGAACCTATTTGCTAACATGGTCAGCAAGATTAAGCCATGGCAATTGGCCATAGATCCCAAGTATCAGGTGGGATACATAGATCTAAATAATACATTTAAAGATTATTCTTTACTTCTAGTTCAGAATGCTGACTTCTGAATTAGTACTGTTGTTTTGAAATTTGCAAGCTGTACTAGAAAGAAAGGGAAGAGTGTCTAACCTCTTATAACAACCACACACAAACACATCTGGGTCTGTTATAATGGAAACAAATGAAAACCTGGGTGGTTTGCACACTGAAAAGCAGGATCTTTCATTAGCGATAGGAAAAGGCATGATTAAGATAGTATTGCAGGGCTTCCCTGGTGGCGCAGTGGTTGAGAGTCCATCTGCCGATGCAGGGGATACGGGTTCGTGCCCTGATCCGGGAAGATCCCACACACCGCGGAGCGGCTGGGCCCGTGAGTCATGGCTGCTGAGCCTGCGTGTCTGGAGCCTGTGCTCTGCAACGGGAGAGGCCACAACAGCGAGAGGCCTGTGTACCGCCAAAAAAAAAAAAAAAAAACAGATAGTATTGTAAAAGTCCACGTGCTTATTTTATTTGCAGTCCTTCAAAACTTATTCTAGTTAAAAATTATTTCATTTATATAGTTTTTCCTTTAATATAATTTTAATGTAATTTTGCCTTGGTAGATTCTAATTAAATTTTTAAAGGGATACTTTTAAGACCATATATGGTCTTTAAGCCATGTTGAAACCATAAGATGAATGATTTTGTGAACTAATGTTTTTACACTTTCAATGAGTCAATTTTTACTATTTAAAAATCAGGTTAATAACTTTAAATGATTATTAAAATTCTTTAATGTCAACAGATCTTTTAGGAGGCTGTTTGCTTAGTGAATTCAAATCCCTCTGTTGGTGCTTTGGGGAAAATGGTGATTCCTCTAATTTGTTACATATTAAGTAATTCCCCGGATATGGAGCCCAAAATAGACATTTTTGATATTTCCAAGACAGAAATAGCACAGTTTTTATCAACTTTGTGGATAGCAAAACTAATAGATCATGGAATATGGATCCTTGGATTTGGGAATGTTGATTCTCATGTTATAATTCCAAAGGACAGATAACTGCTTTAGTAATTTCTTCCTCTTTCTCCCACACCATAGTATCTTAGCCAATCTTTTGAAGCATTTTACTTATGAGTTATGTTGACTAGGAAACAAAATTCAGTTTGAATCCATTGGGCATATCAACACATATTTATAGCATTTTAATCAAACATTAAATGTAAGTCTAATCTAAGCAAACCGGAAAATATTTTATAAATCTTGATTTCTTGATCCGTCCATATATTTATTCATCTAACCTCATTTGACCATGTCATGGTTTTTGAATCTAAAGATATTCTTCATGGATACAATATACCACATTCTTTGGTTTTGATAGCATGTCAGTAGGAACATATTTAACGACGGCATTTTGTTGCTAGAACTGAATCTTTGCAAGAGAATTCACCTTATTATCACTGTGAGAAACTTACTTTTTCAGACATGAATGGTGTGATCCAAATATTCATATCTCTTTAGACCCCTCTGTACAGGTGGCGTCCTCGCCTCACGTCACTGACCAAACAACAATGGTCTCTTAAGAAGGGACTGATTGGTTGGGATTTTATTTGGGCACTTGGCCTCCTGGGCCAGAGCCAATGATTTAGTCAATTCATATACATATACCTTTTTTGGGTAAAATTGTGAAACTTGAAATTCTTAGCTCAGTTCTTTGTTAATCTTTATGATTAGTATATAATATTCATTGTCCTTCCCTCACAATTTAATACATGAATTAGATGGTGAACTCAACCTGTGGAAGGCCCGAACTAATGCCATTGCTGCTGCTTTGCAGATACTCTCTCTTGTCTGAAAACTTTCTCTTTTAAATGCTCTAATACATACTGCTTATTTACACAGCCAAATGTTTGTCTCCTCACTGAAGCTTCACTCTGTTCTTTAGCGTATGTGAGTATTTTTCATACATAGTGTTTTCTTTTTTGATTATAATATATTCATTTGTGCTATTCACGTATTTTGTGTGTCTCTGTGTATTTGTCATGTGGTTGAGTGCCGTTAAATATGTGTTCTCCTTTCTTCCTACGTAACCAGTAGACATATCAATATTATGAGCAGGGAGGTGATTGTTCTTAAACCAGTAAACAGAATAATTTGAAATGTACTCTCACCTTTTAAGGAGATAAACCTTGCCTTTTGTTTCCTTCAGTATGATTAACTACAGGCATTTCAGGTATCTGCTGAGCAGAATAAGGACTACCTTTTCATGTGAAGTA